TCCCAAATCGAATGCTTTAATAATAGTAAATTTTTAACTATACATATATAATAGTAAATGTTTTCTCATAAATTATTAGAAAATTTATCATGAAAAGGACTCTCCAGGCAAGTCATTTATTATATTTGAAGCCTTACACTGACTGTGCTTTAGTCATGAAAGAAAGTTTGCATGAGGATGAATTCATATATATACCTGGAAATCTGGTGATTGATCATGCCGGAGAGTTTGACGATCCATTTCTGACACACGGGAGGCACGGTCATCAGGTGAGCTGTGGAAATCACTCTGTAAACTTCCATGGTGGTCCTCATCAATTTGCACACGAAGGTCATCTGGATCACTAGGCTTATGATAATCCTGGGATACAGTAATATATGATACAGTAGACTAATGGGAAAAATCGATGCAACAAAATTTAACCTCCCGTTCTTAAACACCAAATGAAAGTGTGAGCATGTAACAATCTGTATGCCTAAATAATATGCTGACATCATCTCCTCCAATCAGAATTTAGCATACATCTCTACCAACAAGGACTCAACAAGCACTTAAAACAAAATCAGATTAACTGTCTGAACCTTAAATCGCCTCAAGAGGATATTTTAAGTAGATAACTACATCAACTTCATTAAATTTGAGGATAGAGATGAAAGATCTAAACGAATTAAGATGAAGGAAGATATTCATCAAATCGGGACAATTTGTAAAAACACTTATTACATTGAGCTGAAAAGAGTGACATTGATTTACAGAAAAAATAGAAAAGAAATACTACTAAAAAGAGACTGACTTATCATTCTTTTAGAACACTTTGGCTTCGTTTGGCTCAAGATTGGGAATACTACTCTTAGTATTCCCAAAAAAGTTAAACAGTAAAATACCCAAAAACTCTCATTTTTGGGAATACTATTTTCAATATTATTCAATTTTTTTTTATTTTTTTAAACCGTCTAAATTTGTTAATTTAATTAAATACCCCTAAATATTTTTTTTAAAATTACAAAAACACCCCAACAATCCACATTTACCATATTCCGGCTACCACCGTCGGGAAATGGCTGGAATCTGGTAGGATGGCGCACTACCGGCTAAATGTGGCCGGTAGTGCGCCGATCTAGCCTTTTCCGACCAGATCCACCGTGGATCTGGCCGGAAAAGGCCAGATCTAAGGCCAAAGATCTGGCCGTTGGCCTTAGATCTGGCCGTTGACGGCCAGATCTTTGGCCGTAACACTCGGTCACGACGGCCAACAAACGGTCGTCGTTGACGTCGTTGAGAGCAAATACGGCCAGATCTGGCCATTGACGGCCAGATCTGACCGTAGATCTGGCCTTTTCCGGCCAGATCCACCGTGGATCTGGCCGGAAAAGGTCATATCGGCGTATGAACGGCAAGATCCAACCGGTCATGCGCCCATAAGGTGACTCCGACCACCTCCACCAGGTGTTTGAGGGTGGGTTAGGGGTGTTTTTGTTAACTTTTAATGTTTTATTATAGGGGGTATTTTGTAAAAAAATAAACATAAGGGGTATTTTATGAATTTATAAATTCTACATCGTAATACCCGCACAATTCAACTTTTTTTAACTTTTTTCAAAAACTTTTTCCAAAACCCCCAAATTTTGAACCAAACGAAGCCTTTGTTCTTGTAATCTCAAATGATCGCTCTCTTTGTATGTTTTAGTAACGATCAAAGAGAAAGCCATTAATATAACTACAGTGGACATAGAACTTGCGCATAGCATCCGAACTACTCTAAAAATCTCTCTTATCAACTTTTTATTTATGTTTCTTCGAGCACATATCATCACTTCACCATAAACACTTACCATAATCACCTCACCTGTAAATCTATGGCAGTTTACATATACGTATTTCGTTGCTGTCAAAATCAAACATCTAACATAATCAACTAAACAAAAGAGAAGAACTTCTACAGAAGATAACTATGTATTCAAAATAATGCCAACCAATGACAAGATCCCAAGAAAAAAAAAAAAATACGAGGGGAAGTCTCCAGTTAATAAATACTGTAAATATGATATTGCCTCCAAGACAAATATGATGCAGCAGGAAGATCGACTGAGGATGATCACAGCGTGTTCAGATATGAGGCGTTGGAGGGGTGGTGGAAGAAGAAGATGGTGGGTTACGGTCAAGATGAATGGTGTCGTCTTGGCAACGTCGTAGGCCTCCATCGCCAAAGACCGAGAGAGCAGTGATGAAGGTGATGTCAGCGGACTGGGGGAAACAAAGTGGAGGGAAGAGTTGTGTTTTGGGCCTGTTTATGATTTTGATTTGCCATTTTCGTTTTTTATCCCTCATAAAAGCTGCAGCAAGTGTTCTTTTGTTCTTTACATTCTCCAATCAACTTTAATATCCACTGTCTTCTCACGCCAACGAATGCTATAGAAAGGATCTCATCGGTGAACACACGTAAGATTTTGATCTCGAGATTGCATAATAAACTTTTTTTCTTTCATACGTTATTGGATTAATACAAATATATCATATTGAGTAGAATATACGTAAGATGATAAATTAACATGATGCAAGAACTAAACGTTTAAAATTTGAAACTTAACTTATACAAAGACAATATTTTTTGATCTAAGTTATTAACTTTGATCTAAACAATCTGCATATATAAGTAATACTTTTACAATAAATATTAGTGTAAAATAAAAATGCTATCGTACATAGATCCCAACCTATATATAAAATTATTAAAAAAAAATAGTTATGGTCATTTGAATGTGGTTGTATATTAGCAAAATCTCAAATATTAAGAAGTCTACGTAAAAAAAAAAAAAAAAAAAAAAACTTAAAAGGTAATATGTGTGCTACCTGATAGATTAAACTTGGTTGGAAATTGCAGCTGTTTTCTCTGACATGCTTGATATTCTGAATCCCTACTCCGCCCATGCATCAGATTCTTAGTCAAAAGACTCCGTCAGCTTTGCAGAAACAGGGTGAGAAAAGGAAAGAATGATCGCAAATAAGCAAGAAAGAAGATGCCCTAGCTCCTGCATGGTAAAAGCTTTTGATCGAGCTCTACGTGGACAGTACAAGGAAAATTCTGAGTACAATCCTTATTTTCCTCATATAATTTACTGGAGCAAAACAATTGACCATGACTTGCTTTACAGCTTAATCTTTTCTGAAAATAAAGCGGCAGCCCAACAAGTCACGTCCTAAACCTATAAACCGACAACATGTGTAAAACGAAAGATAATAATGATATCAGATCGATTTTCATTTGTTATATCTTTAGCTGTCACAAACTGTTAAACAAGCCATGACTTACAAAGTGATGAACAAATTGATAATCTCATAACAGCAATCTTTGAAAAACGTTGTGCGGAGTAAGCATTTTTACGTGTTGCCAGGGGCGGACCCAAAGTGTATTAAGAGTGGGCCATGGCCCACCCTCAATTTTTAAAAAATAAAAATTAAATACATTATTCCATTTAGTTTGGCTTTGGCCCATCCTTAATTTTTATTATCAAATATTAAAAAATTGTGGCCCACTCTCAATTTTAGAACTAAAAATTTTTGTTTGGCCCACCCTAATAAAGATTTCTGGATCCGCCCCTGTGTTGCCATGTTTAATCTAGAGAACTTTTCATCAAAGGTGAACAATATAAAACAAATTATAGTGTGGACTAGACAAAAAATAGCTGTAAAATAGAGGTTGCTGGGGCCTGTAAGTGTGAATGAATGAATGAATGTACCAACCACCGTCGCAGACAGCCGCCGTTGCCACCGGAAAGAGGCATGGAAGGCCAAAAATGGCCGCCATACGCTGATATGACCATTTCCGGCCAAATCATATCAATGACCGTTATCGGCCACGTCCTAGCCACTAGATTAGATCTGGTCGTCGATGACCAAATCTATCATGTTTGGCCATTTCCGGTTAGATATCTGGTCAAAAATGGTCATACGGCACATGGAGGCCATTTCTTGCCTTCCGTGCACCGTTCGGTTGTCGGCTATCGGCGGCCTGCAATGGTTGCTGGCAACCGTCAGTGGCTGGGTTGGTGGGGGTGCTTTGTTGATTTTTCAAACTTTTATTATGGGGTTGTTTTTGCTAAGTTTTTAAATGCAGGGGGTTTATAATAATCCAAACAATAATCAATATTAAAAAATAATATTTAATTAGGAGACAATTCAGTAATTTAAATAACATACCCACCAATTTATTTCTCCAAACCAAACATATTAATATAACATACCCACCAATTAACCAAATACATTTTTCTAAAGATTTTCAGTCAAGATAATCTAACATTCCACTAATCTAACATTCCTAATAGTTCAATATTCTATAAATCGAACACTCCATTTATACTTAAAGACCAACATTAATTAATTACACATAAAATATTTGTTGTAGAATTCATAAACATTCTAACCAGACATGAGACAGCTAATGACGGCCTTTGTGAGAACCTTTTGAATCACTACACTACTTAATGGGAGCGTTTATTTGTCCCATATTGTCAAATATTAGTGGTTTGTTATATAATATATATATATATATGGTTGGTCTTCTTTATCCTCCTTAGCTTTTGGGCTAAAGTTCTACCCAATCTCACATTATCATTTAATTAATTTGGGAGTGTTCAAAAGAACTTATTAAAATCGTAATTTAATTAATTTGGGAGTGTTCAAAAGAACTTATGAGAATCGTAATTGACAGATATTTAAAGTTTGGTTCCGATTTCTACCTGGAACCACCATCAACAGGTAGGTTCCGACTTCAAAAATTTGGAACGTTCTAGATGTAAATCAAATCATAACATAACTATCTCATATCTGCTTGGCCAGATAATACCACAACACAGTCTCCAAAAGAAGACTTGAAATAATATTCCGACGCAAAGCAGGCGCTGTAAAGCGCTCGTTAGAATATTTGCAATATCTGCTACTGCAGTTTAACACAAGAGCAACAACAGAACGATAGCAAAAACAGGAAGAAAATAGACTGCAAATTATCTACCTATTTCATTGAATGAAAGTGCAATTTATACGAGTAAATTCAACAAACAATATACTAAAAAAGTGCTGCAGGAATATAAGAACAACAGTTAACAAGCATGATTAGACTAATAGCAGTTAATAATCTTAATGTCTAATTTCTAGCAACCACTTAGTTTAACAACTTCAGAAACTTGACTCATTCCACCAGTAACTGAAACACCTCTTTTCCAGCTACCACCTAATCAATCTATTCAGCACTTCCAAGTCAGCAACACCTCCGCAGCATCTTGAGACACACGTTCAACAGCTCCTATGTAAATAAAGCTCTTTCCGATCCTTTCTTGCTGGTTCTTGGCATAGATTCCCATCTCCTGTATAACTCTTTACGGACTTCTTTTCGGTAGATGCATATTTTCCTGGCAGCCATGCAGAATTCACTGCAATATTCAAATGAAAGCTAGTGAAATCAAAATGATCAAGTCCATCAATGAAAATAAAACCCATTTCCAGTCTGAGTCTACAGTTGCTTATCGTTTGTTTGCTAAGAGAAACGTTAAGAAAATTTAGCCTCTCTTTTTCTATGCTTTCTAAATTCTCATTACAAAACCTGCATTGGATCGTTTCAATGAAAAGAAGACCAAAATGGCTCTCTAGAACTAAAGCTATAGACATTTCATGGCTCCCCCAGAGTAAGAAGATCAATAACAAAGAGAAAGGAGATACATAAATAAATGACATGCAAATGGCACTCACCCCCAAGAAATTTCATCTTCACGCAAGTAATGAGCTTCATCGGAAATGTCAAGGTAAAGTACATTCCATCTGTGTCTGTCTCCCCACAGCACTTTCTCAGTTTGAAACATTTCATCCCTCAGTTTCCTAAAAAGTTGTTCATAGCAGGTAACCATTGTCAAATCAATCATCATGTTCAAACGCATCCCTGTCACTGCCATATGTACCTGGAAGAAGATATTTACCTCTATCAAATATTTTCATGTAAATTGACAGACTAAGTATAAGTCTTTGTTCATGTAATAATTTTCTACAAGTGTGATGCCTCTAGCAAATAATCCTAATTTGCTCTCATTCAGTAAAATTCTGTGTATTTCATAATTTAGTAAAAAAGTTTTAGGACAGGGGGCTGAGAAAATTTTGACATCTAACAAACCCAAAACAATACTTAGGTGGACTCGACGCACCACATCATTTGTGTTCATCTTACAATATTACGACACATAATTCAATTAACTGCAAAACCAGGTAATTATGATTGTGCACATATCTATTTTTTTCTTGATCTAACAAAGCACGTAGGACTTTCATTAAAATTGAGAGGAAGCAACCCAAGTCAATCAAGCTCCATACCATAATATTTCGTAATCCATTGTGCAGCTGATTGACTTGATTTTCAGCTGGTGGCTCAGCCGCATTATGAGTACCATTTTCATGCTCCTTTCTGAAGGCAAAGACGACAGAGAAAGCACGAAAAACAGCGAAGGCTAGCGGCAATAATGATAGATTATACTTGTCATACACACCCTTCTGTAAGAAAATAAGGTGAAGGATTGTTGTGAGTAATTGGATCCCAGAAACTAAAAGCTCCACGTTCGCACTTGGTCTCTCATCTAGTAATCTGGTGGATCTTCCCTTCAAATAAACCCATAACGTTGGGATAAAGACAAATAGTGCCAAGAGAAATGCAGCCAAAGTGAAACGAAGCTTGCCTTTCCCAATGGAATCCAATACAAATGATATTGCCTCCAAAATAAGAAATAATACAAGAAGCGCCAAATTCTTATATTTATGGTGGAGATATAACATAACTGAGCGCTTGTTACCGGGTAACTTGCCATCCTATGATAAAAGACTTTTAAGTATAAGAAACAGAACCAAAAATTTAAATTTCTTAAACATTCTAAATGTCACTTTCTAGTTTAAGTACTCAAACAACAAACCTTATCTTCATCCTCCCCCTGCAAGGTAAAGACAAAAGAAGAATAAGTAAGCTCCTTGTTTTGATATCCCAAATCGAATGCTATAATAATTGTAAATTTTCGTCACTTTCTAGTTTAAGTACTCCAACAACAAACCTCATCTTCATCCCCCTCCTGCAAGGTAAAGACAAAAGAAGAATAAGTAAGCTCCTTGTTTTGATATCCCAAATCGAATGCTATAGTAATCGTAAATTTTCTACTACATGTACAAGCTCACTATATTACATTACCGTTTGACCTAAAAGCTTACCTTTAAGGTCAAACGATAATTTAACATAACAAAAGTTTTTAAAGTTTGAATCACACATTAATGAGTAAAAAATAAATTTACATTTCACTCGAGTGGAACTGTTATCATGTGTATTTAGTAATCAAGGCAAATGAAAAATGTTTTCTCATAAATTATTAGAGAATTTATCTAGAAAAGGATATAGGTCGCTCTCCAGGCAAGACATTTATTATATTTGAAGCCCTACACTGATTGTGCTTTAGTCATGAAAGAAAGTTTGCAAGAGGATGAATTCATATACCTGGATATCTTGTGGTTGATCATGCCGGATAATTTGACGATCCACATCTGACGCACGGGAGGCAAGGTCATCAGGTGATTTGCGGAAATCAATCTGGAAACTTGTATGCTGGTCCTTTTCAATTTGCACAAGCAGGTCATCAAGCTTCCTAAGTTGCCTCTCTTTTAAACTGAGCAAAACAACTAATGTGGTATAGCAGACTAGTCGGAAAACCGATGCTATTATAATTGACTGCTTGTTCTTAGGTTCCAAAGAAAAGCATAAGTATAAAACAACGAACTGAAAAGAAAGCAAGGTCCACATAACCACAGCATCACTATGTCGGTTAATGGAGATGGTGCTCATTAATGTCTCAATGAAGCCAATAAATGTCACGAACTGGGTAAAAATAAATAAATAGAAGCCCACGTCTCCCATCAATGGATTCGATAACCTGTCTCCAATTAATAGATAGCATAAACATGGTATTGCCTCGAAGAAAGCAAATCCAATGAAAAACGAACGGTCTAGACACCTTAAACAAAACCCCTGTAATTAAGACAATAAAGCATATATATAAGATACACATCCTCAAATAATTGAATAAAAAAGTCTTTTAAATTTTTAACCGATAATAAGCAGTGTAAAACTTTGCATCCCAATTTTGCAAGTGTAGTAAATTAAAGTATCCAAAAAAGAAGCTATAAAATTGTAAATTTTCGTCACTTTCTAGTCTAACTACTCCAACAACAACCTCATCTTCATCCCCCTCCTGCAAGGTAAAGACAAAAGAAGAATAAGTAAGCTCCTTGTTTGATATCCCAAATCGAATGCTAAATAATAGTAAATTTTCTACTATATGTCGTTCTCCCTATAATACATTACCGTTTGACCTAAAAGCTTACCTTTAGGTCAAATGATAATATAACAAAAGGCTTTAACGTTTGAATCACACATAATGCATAAAAATAAATTTATTTCACTTGAGTGGAACTGTAAAGCTCATATCAAAAAAAACATCAATTATCATGCGTATTTAGTATCAAGGCAAATGAAAAATGTTTTCTCATAAATTATTAGAAAATATCTAGACAAGGATATAGGTCACTCTCCAGGCAAGTCGTCTATTATATTTAAAGCCCTACACTGATTGTGCTTTAGTCATGAAAGAAAGTTTGCATGAGGATGTATATCTATACCTGGATATCTTGTGGTTGTCATGCCGGAGATATAGCGATCATTTTGACACACGGGAGGCAAGGTCATCAGGAGTCTGCCTAAATCACTCACAAAACTTTCACGATGGTCCTCACCAATTTGCACACGCAGGTATCTGGATCCTAGGCTTATGATAATCCTGGGATGGCTCCTTTTTGAAACCGAAGCAAAAACATATGGTAGAATAGACTAGAGGGAAAACGATGCAACAACATTTAAGTCTCGTCTTAAGTACCAAAAGAAAGTATGATCGTGTAACAATAAACTGAAAAAAGAGAAGAACATCTCCAAAAGATAAACTATGTCGGTTAATGAAGCTGATGGTATGAGCAATTGAATTCATAATAATGCCAATCAATGACAAGATCTCAGAAAAAGAAGGAAATACAAGGAGAAGTCTCAGTTAATAGATACTGTAAATTGATATTGCCTCCAAGACAAAAAATGTTATGGCAAACGAACGTTGGTGTGACCACCTAAACAAAACCCCTGTTATTAGACAATAAGAACATATATAAGATACACAACCTCAATAATTGAAATAAAAAGATTTTTATTTTAATGGATGATAAACGGTGTAAAACTTTGCATCCCAATTTTGTAAGTGTAGTAAATTAAAGAGGAAGAGAAGATAAAAGTTTAGTTCTTTATGATAGCCTTAACAAACGCCCACGTTTAGAATATTGACACATCTTCAGACCAGATAAATCTGCGAACATTTCACGAGTAGAAATGAATATCCTTGTGATGTACAAACATAAGTTTATGTAGAAAACTGTCAAAGAAGCAAATTGTCTGCTCTTTTAGTAGTGGCTCATCACCTAATGGAACTGCACTCTGCAACTTCCCTGCAGGGTAAAAGACAAGAGTACAGGTAAGCTTATTTACAGTAATTGAAAATTATCAGATGCTGAAGTCCACCATTTTCTAAATCTGAATCGCCATTCACTAGTACTATTTAAGTTAAACGACAAAGTTTGGGTCAAATTTCTCCATTAAAGACTGCAAAATGTTATTTAAAATTACTAATTAAGCAGTAGTAAACGAGTCAATTTTTTTTTAAATCAGAAAATCCTATTACTAAATTACTCATAGGTCAATCACTAAAAGGTTACTAATCCACTTTCCCACAACTATAAATTTTTCACTTTAAAACTCTCTAGATAGAGCGGCTGAAAATAAAACAAAATTCACGGATTAATTCAAAAACCAACATGTACTTGAAGTTAATAATGAACTGTAAATGCACAACAGAATTATTTTTATCATATTATCAGCATTGATTATAGCATATTTTGTCATTTAGGTTGAATGATACCTGTTCAGCATCTTCATGATCAATGGCCTGTTTGGATCTCGACCGAAACCATAGATTCCAGTTTCTTGCCCTTCCATATAGGACTCCCGTTCCCCAGACGCATTGTCTTCAAGATTTTTATCCAAAAGCAAAACCTATTACAGTTTCTTGCACCCATTAAGATTAACAAAGAAAAAACTGTACATGTTTATATGAACCCATATCTACGTGCTTCAATCACATTTAGATGAATCCACTCTCAGCAGCAGGAACAATTTAAATTATTTACAGTCAAAAGTCACATTTAGGCATCTAAAATTAATTCAATATAATTAAAAAGAATAATAATTACACAATACAAAACAGTATCTGAAAAGAACAACATATAAAATTTGGAAGTGCGGACCAATTATAAACTAAAAACTCTAGTTAAGATTTAAGCTGTTTTAGAATGTGTATTCCTGCACCAACATACAAAAGGACAAATGCGTTCTACCTATATATATGTCGAATGAGTCAGCTCAAAGAAAACAGCTATAATTTATGATACTTTTCTCCAACATAAAAAATAATGAGATGCAACCCAACACTACTTACTCTACAACCTAAAATTCTCAAACCACATCACTTTTAGATTTCTTCTACAACTTCAAATTATTTTCAGTATTTGACCATTAAACCCAAAAACAAAGATAATCATTAAACCCAAAGAGCGCCAACTTCAATGAGCTCAGGCACGAGGTGGCCGCTGAGATGGAGGGCAAAGAGAGATTCAAGGCCACCAACGCAGGTGCCGCCATGAAACGGCAGGCGCTGCAGGATTACGAAGAGAGTCATCTTATCATGAGAGGAGGTGGGAGGAAGAGCAGAGATCTCATGTTCACCGAGTTCGATGACGGCGGGGTGAAATCCGATGGTGAGGAGTAGTTTTCTCGTGACGTGGCACATGCGCAGGAAGATTGACTGAAGATGATGACAGGTCGTTAGATTGAGGCGTTGGATTTTGATCTATGGATTCTTCGATCGATAAATAGTGGGAGGGATGGTGGAAGAAGAAGCAGGTGGGTTAGGTCAAGATGAATGGTGTCGTTTTGGTAACGTAGTCGCATCACGCTGCGAGAGTGGTGATGTCGACGGACGGGGGGAACAAAGTGGAGGGAAGAGTTAGTGTTTTGGGCCTGTTTACGATTTTGATTTGCCATTTCGTTTTTTTATCCCTCGAAAAAGCTGCAGCAAGTATTCTTATTCTTTTGCCGTTCCAAAGCAACTTAATCAGTAATACCGGACCGGACCGGTGGTTAACCGGTTCGACTGAGACTAGGTTACCGCCTTAAAGCATCTCCGAGTCCCGACCCACGCTATTTTGGTGTGAAAAACACCAAAATAGCGTGAAATTGCTGCTCTATTGAAGTGCCATTTAGCACCAATTGGTGGAGATGAACACTACACACCAGTGCAGTATTATTATCGCCTCAAATTAGCGTGGCACTATTTATACAGTAATTTTTTTTTAATTATTAAATTTCGTTATTTAGATTTAAGTATTTGATTATATTCAAAATAAAAAAATTAAAAATAAACTTTATTCAATATAAATATAACTACAATAACAAAATAAAATTAATACTAATTTAAAAACACTAAAATTAAAATAAAATACAATATAAACTAAAATAACAAATTAGTATTCCGATAGATTAGTTCTAGATCTTGTAAGATCATCAAAATATTGGAAAAAACTAGAGTTGTTTGTTTTTTTTTTTTTTTTGGTATCATTTTATATTAGATGTAATGTTTTTCTATATTAATAAAGTATTTATTTAATAAATAAATGTTTAATTTATTAAATTAGTAATTTTTAAAGTAATTATTATTTAATAAATATATCATTCTCAATATTTATAATATAACAAGAATAACGAGTGAAAAAGATAATTGTTAATCATTACAATAAAATAAAAAGAAAGAGAATTTTAAAGTATTCTTTTGATGTAATATTTTGTGCAATGGATTGGAGATGCATTAATGTTTTGCATAAAAAATCACACCAATTTTGTGAATGGGTTGGAGATAGTCTTATTGTTTACATAATCTCTAATTTGACGTCGACAAATGAAAGGTTATTGAGTGAGGGTTAGAAAGGTTTCATAAGGGAGGTTGGTGGTTCAAAGGGTGGTGTTTGATTATTTTTTTTACGTCGAAAAATCAACCCGATTGCGACGGTTATATAAGTCACAGCTGGCCAATAGGGGGTTACCAAGTGTCAGGGTTATAGGGGTTTTGCAGATAGAGGATGGTGGTTCAAGTGGTGGTGTTGGATTGAATTTTTACACTAGAATCAGTCAAAATTTGGCCGAAAAAACCAACAACCTAACTGTTGCAAGGGTGTGTTTGATAGAATTCAAACTTACAATGGATATCTTATCAGGAGTGTGTTTGCTAAATTTTAAAGTTATTTATCAATAAAACCCTATATTTAACCGAGTAACCAATCAGCTCGCAACTTTGGTTTAAAACCCAGACTGGACCTGCCGGTTCAACCGATTAGACCGAGACCAGCCTTAACTCCAATCGAGTTAACATAAAAACCAAAATAAACATAAACCCGATTGGATTGGTAATAGACTGCAGATAGTAAAAACCGTTGTCTACCGGTTTAGAGCTTAAAATGGTTCACTGTTTGGGGTTAATCTTATCCCTAATTCTAAACCAGATTTGAACAACGTTTTATTCTCTATTTTATTGAGCCAGCAAGCATTCTTCATTCCATTTCAATACCATTTTCCAATGTTCTGAAAATTAGAACAGACCGGCAGTCGGACCAGTTCGACCAGTAGTCGGCGGCATATCCTCTGAAAACCGCTATTTTCAATCAAACCAGATTGAGCTGCAGTTGGACCGGGAATAATATTGAATCGCGGTCCAATCGCAACTCAATCCCACGGATTCCGGCATCATTTGAGGAGAAAATACCACCATTAGACTGACAGCATCTCCATGACAAAGCCCAACCATTTTCAGTGGCCATCGTCCAGCCTTCGTTGTCACCGTCACCTAAAGTACACGCGACGCTGACTTCTTGCTTGATTCCAGCAGTTCCGACATCGATGGAATCCCTGACATCACCATCAGATTCGTCGACACTATACATCAAAAGCCCCATGATTTCAAACTCGATTGGTCGTCAATAGTCGCTACAACAACATTACCAGTCTTTTCACGCGATGGGGTGTTTGGATATTTCAAACCTTAAGGAGTATAGAAGAGGTTTTTGTGAATTTCAACATTAGGAGTAAAAATAATTTTACAAATACAATCCAACCATCAAACCGGAAACTAGACCCTTGAATGGGTCATAGTCCTATCTGGTTTTTTGAACATTGCCATTTCATCTCCAAAGACCAAATGTATCTTCCATTTCATCTTCTATTCTTCTTTACTTACTCAAATTTACCATATAAGAAGAAAAGAGAATAAGGGGAGGGAAGAAGAAGAAGAAGAAAGAAGAGGAGAGTAGAAGAATAGAGGAAGGAAAGATTAGAAGAAAAAGGAGGAGACGAAGAAGATTAGAACAAGAAAAGAGAGACGAAGAGTAAGAGGAAGGAAGAAGAAAGAGAAAGAGATATTGGAAAAAAGGGAAAGACATAGAAGAAAGAGAAAGTGGCGGGAGAAAGAGAAAAATGAAAAAAAATGAAAGTGATGGGGAGAAGAGAAAAAATAATTAATAATAAAAATTGTAAGTTAGTTTAAATATACAAAGATTCATGTATAAATTTTAGAAATATATATGGGTTTTTAAACTTATTTTAGAGACTTGTTGTTGCATCCGGTCAGATCGATCTAACCGATTGAACGATCCATTCCAAAATTGACTCCTTAATCAGGTTAAAAACAGTCGGATTTTCTCGCAATCAACCCTTAGCCGGGTGACACCCCAGGTTGGTTTCATATAATCACTGACTTTGATATCTACTACTTCTCACGCCGCCAATACAACACCAAAAAGTATAAGAAGCTAGAAGAAAGGTGAGGGTAATTCGGTCAAAGACTCCGTCAACTCTCCACAAAAGGAATGATGAGCGGAAGGACGATAACGCCGTCAAGATTTTTAACGAGTGGGTTTAAAACATTTAAATTTATAATTTTACCAAAATTTTGTGCGGTAGATAAATTTAAGTAAAATCAAAATTATAAATATTTAAAATAAAAGTTTTTTAATTTTTTTTCAAAGTTTGAGTGGGTTAATATAAATTCTAGTAGGGTCAAAATATAAAGACTTTTTTATTTAATTTTTTAAATTGAGTATTTAATTGATTGAAATAAATTGGAAAAGTTCCAGCAAAATTCAATAAATCAATTGACCCTGACTTGCTTTAATCTATCAATTTCCAAAAAGATGATCAAGAGAGTAAGTGTGGTGTTTTATTGTGTAGATTAAACCATTTTCAACCTTTATATTTAGAGACCAAAATTAATTACACATAAAATATTTGTCGTAAAATTCCATAAACATTCTGAGTACATTAATGAAAATATGATACAATGTTCTAAAAAACCAGATCGGACCTTAATAAATACACACAAGTTTTTATAGTTTAAAATCTAGCAAAACATACTTTCAATTGGGCAAGAAACACGAAAGAGTCAATAGTAGTGAGAACGATCGATGGTCAATTGGACTGCAGGATGACATAGGTTTTGATGTGGAGAGATGAGGTGATGTCGATGGTGGTGTCAAATGGGGTGTTTGGCATAGGGCCAATTGTAAATATTAGTGTAAAATTAAAAAAAAAATCATAGTTACGCTATTTGAATGTGATCTAGTACATAACCCTTCGGAAATAAAGAATATTAGCAAAATCTCAAATATTAAAGTGTACATAAAAAGATAAAAAAAAGAGTAAGGACATTTACCGTTCTCAATCCCTGGTCGGTAAAATTGGCTGCATACTGTTATTAATACAGCTGTTTCCTCCGAAAAGCTGGATTTTGTGAATCTCTGATCCGCTCATGCCTCGGATTCTCAGTTTCTGCAGAAAAATGGTGAGAAAGGAAAACAAGATTGGGAAGTAAGCAAGAAAGGATTTGATTGATTTAAATAAAGCTAAATAGGGAAAGTTCAAAGAAAGTTCTTCATAAATATGGAAAGTCAGAGAAGTTCGAAGCTAAATATTGACTCTACGAGTAAGTCGTCGTCTAAGTCGTCAACCAATCAGCGTTGCCGAGGCGAAAACCCACAGATACCGCGTCGTCATGTGCGAAACGGCCCTTTCACCGCCACCGATCTTACACCCGATTCTGTTTTAGTAATTTTCCCTATAATAAATAAAAGTTTTGTTAATCTCCAGAAACCCACCAACATCTATAATTTCTTCGAATAAGTACTATTTTTTTGAGAAAATTAAATAAAAATATCATTTCAAAGTTTAGAAGAATTAAACTGATCATGTTAAACGATATAAATCATCTCTTAAGCTGAAAATACACACTATTTGTACTTAAGAATAATCTTGTATATATACGTTATATGTACTTGAGAACATCGTGGTATAAATATGTTACATACATTGTTCTTATCTAATAAGATTACAGAGATTTGGATAGGGCATGTTGAGAATTTTTATATGAAGGGAAGATAAGAGAGAGGAAACTGTCTTCTTATGGGCTTCTCGTTTCACCTTAGAGAGATGAGAAAGGAATAACCCTAATTCCCTTGCTCCCAGTTTACATCCTTACCTTTTTTCTTCGTAAACTCGTTTACTTTTGATGGGGGAACACACCAATAAACAAACCATCAACACTTAAAAAAAAAAAATGGCCACTGCACAGAAACATCAGTTTCATATCCAGCAGAAACCAGAGGTTGTGATTCAGCTATCTCATTGCTAAATAACTTAGCAATCCTTTGGTACGGACCACGGCAAATAAGAGGACACTCTGATCCCTTCTCTGCTGTGGTAAGCACCGTTTGGTTGTACTTCTCGGAGCAAAAGGCCGCAGTTGGCACGAAAACTTGGGCACTTGAGGGAAGAGTGCGAGCTGGTTGAGTTTGCGCCAAGCTAACACCGAGCATTTCTCGGCTTGGCTCGTACTGGAGTAGAGCCCCTTGGCCGTGACAAATAAGATGTTAAGACCTCAAACTCGAAGCATACAAACTAAACAAGGCTATCAACAAACGACTGAATATAAAATTAATCAAATCCAAAGCTTGTGTAAAATACCTGGTGTTAACCATATAGAAGATTTGCAATATGCTACTATGTAAAAAAGCTCTTTCCGATCTTTCTCGCTGGTTCTTGGCATAGATCGCATCTCCTGTATAACTCTTTACGGACTTCTTTCGGGAGATGCATATTTTCCTGGCAGCCATGCAGAATTAACTGCAAATTCAAATGAAAGTATAGTAAAATCAAAATGATCAAATCCATCACGAAAATAAAACCCATTTGCAGTCTAAGTCTACAGTGATTATCGTTTGTTGCTAAAGAAACGTTAGAAAATTTAGCCTTCTTTCTATCTTTCAAATTCTCATTACAAAACCTGCATTGGTAGTTTCAATGAAAAAAAAGACCAAAATGGCTCCCTAGAACTAAAGCTATAGACATTTCATGGCTCTCCCAGAATAGAAGATCAATAACAAAGAGAAAGAAGAGATACATAAATAAATGACAATGCAATGGCACTCACCCCAAGAAATTTCATCTTCACGCAAGTAATGAGCTTCATCGGAAATGTCAAGGTAGAGTACATTCCATCGGGTCTGTCTCCCCACAGCTTTCCATAGTTGAAACATTTCATCCCTCAGTTTCCTAAAAAGTGTTCATAGCAGGAACCATTCAATCAATCACCATGTTCAAATGCTTCCCTGTCACTCTCATGTGTACCTGGAAGAGCATATTTACCCTTAGAGACTAAGTAAAAGTCTTGTTCATGTAATAATTCACAAGAGTGATGCCTCTAGCACATATCCTATTTGCTCTCTTCAATAAAATTTCTCTATTTCATAATTTAGTAAAAAAATATTAGTAACAGGGGCTGAGAAAATTTTGACATCTAACAAACCCTACTTAGGTGGACCGACGACACATCATTTGTGTTCATCTTACAATATTACGACAATAATTATATTAACTTCAAAACCAGGTAATTATGGTTGTGCATGTCTATTTTTTCCTTTCTAGCAAAGTACGTGGACTCTCATTAAAATGGAGAGGAAACAACCCAAGTCAATCAAGCTCCGTACCATAATATTTCGTGATCCATCATGCTGGTTGACTTGTTCCATCTGGTCGACGCCGCATTAGAATACCATTTCATGCTTCTTTTGAAGGCAAAGGGAAAACACGAAAACAGAAAAACAAGCGGCACTAATGATACTAATACTTGTCAAGTTGTCATCCACCCCTTTGTAATAAAATAAGGTAACTAGTGTTGTAAATGATGAGTCCCAGAAATTAAAAGCTCCACGTTCGCAATGGTTCTCATCTGGTAATCTGGTGGATCTCCCTTCAATAAAAACATAACGTTGGGATAAAGACAACAGTGCCAAGACAAGTGCAGCCACAAGTAACCTATCTTCCTTTCCCAATGAAATCCAATACAATGATATTGCCTCCAAAATAAGAGAATATTTCAAGTGCCAATTCCTATATATATGGTAGAGATATAGATAAGTGAGCATTGTTACCCTCCTAATAAAGGACAAAAGAACATAAGAAACAGAAGTCCAAAATTTAAACTTCTTAAACATTCAAATGTCACTTTCTATAAGACTCAAAACAAACCTTATCATCCCCCCTGCAAGGTAAAGACAAAAGAAGAAAGTAAGTCCCGTTTTGATACCCAAATGAATGCTTAATAACAGTAAATTTTTAACTATACATATATAATAGTAAATGTTTTCTCATAAATTATTTGAAAATTATCATGAAAAGGACTTCCAGGCAAGTCATTTATTATAGTTGAGCCTACACTGACTGTGCTTAGTCATGAAAGAAAGTTTGCATGAGAATGAATTCATATACCTGGAAATCTGGTGATTGATCATGCGGGAGAATTTGACGATCGTTTCTAACACACGGAGGCAGTCATCAGGTGGATATGCGGAAATCACTCTCAAAATTTCATGATGGTCCCATCAATTTGCACACGCAGGTCAAGGGGATCACCGCTTATGATAATCCGGGATACAGTAATATATGATACAGTAGACTAGTGGGAAAAACCGATGCAAAAAAATTTAACCTCTCGTTCTTAAATACCAAATGAAAGTGTGAGATTTACATCTCTATGCCTAAATAAATGCTGACATCATCTCCTCCAATCAGAATTCAGCGACATCTCTACCAACAGGACTCAACAAACACTTAAAAGAACAAAACCAGATTAACTGTTGACCTTAAACTGACGCAGGGGGATTATTTGCGTAGACAACTACATCAATTCATTAAATTGAGGATAGAGATGAAAGAATAGATGATGGAAGAATTTCACATAATCGGGACAACTTGTAAAAGACATTTTTACATTGAGTTGAAAAGAGTATAAATACGCACGACACTGATTTACAGAAAAAATAGAAAAGAAACATATTAGAAAGAGAATGCTCATTCTTTTAGAATACTTTGTTCTTGTAATCTGAGTGATCACTCTCTTTGTATGTTTCCGTAACGATAAAAGAGAAGCCATTAATCAACCACAATGGAGTAGATCTTGCTCATAGCATCTGAACCACTTTAAAATTTCTCTTGTCAACTTTTTTATTTATGTTTCTTCAAGCACATATCATCATTCACCATAATCATCTCACCTGTAAATCATAGCAATTTGCATATGTGTATTTCATATGTCAAAATCACACATAACATATCAACTAAACAAAAGAGAAGAACATCTAAAGAAGTAAACTATGTCGGTTAATAATGATTTCATAATAATGCCAACCAATGACAAGATCCCAAGAAAAAGAAAAAAATACGAGGGGAAGTCTCCAGTTAATAGATACTGTAAATATGACATTACCTCCAAGACAAATATGATGCAGTAGGAAGACGACTAAGGATGATGAAGGGTGTTCATATATGAGGCGTTGGATTTGGTCTCTGTAGATTTTTGATTATAAGTAGTGGGAAGGGGGTGGAAGAAGAAGATGGTGGGTTACGGTCAGATGAACGGTGTCGTTTTGGCAACGTCATAGGCCTTCCATACCAAAGAACAGAGAGTGGTGATGAGGTTGTTGATACTTGATTTTAATACCAACGACTCACACGTGCAAAGTGCTAAAAAGACTTAGAAATTACAGTGATAGGAAAATATAAAACGAGAGATAAATGGAAGCGATTTTTAAAGGGGTTCGGATGCTCAAAAGCGAATCTTATGTCATACTATTGTATTAATAGATGAGTACAGTCAGGTCACGTGTGGCGAGCTGAGTTACATCTAGAGAGAATATGTGTAAGTACTATTTTTAAACTAAGATCAGCCATCCGTAATAGAACGGTGTCCTCTATTTTAGTGGGAGAGTTCAAAGTAATGATTACGAGTCTACAAGTAGGTAGGTGTTATGCAAGTTCTTCTTTACATCTCTGGTTATTTGCACAAGAAATCCTCAAATTGTATAGGGCTTGGGAGATGAATAACCTGGCCAATCGCAAGCCTGACATTCATCTGCTGAGCTGACAAAAATCATACTTCTCTCATCACTACGCGACGTGACAGTGTCTGAACACACAAAATCTTTCTTGAATCCTGATTGGCTCTGCTGACGACAGTCCACATCAGCCCTAACTTTTTAGGCATAACAAAGGTGATGTTAATGGACTGGGGGAAGCAAAGTGGAGGGGAAGAGTTGTGTTTTGGGCCGTTTATGATTTTGATTTGCCATTTTCGTTTTTTATCCCTCATAAAGCTGCAGCAAGTGTTCTTTGTTCTTTACATACTCCAATCAACTTTAATATCCACCATATTTCACGCCAACGAATGCTATAGCCGGAAAGTATAAGAAGCTAGAAGAAGATGAGTGGATATTCATTCAAAGACGCCGTCAACTCTCCACAAAAATGGTGAGAAAAGAAAATGAGTGTGGAAGTGAGCTAGAAGAATTATACTTTTTTTTTTTTGGGGAAAAGGTAGATTTCATCGAAGAAAAAAAAAACTATATATAAACTAGAGACATACCTTCAAAAGAGGTCAAAAGAAGATTAAAACATGTGTGCTCATCTTATTGACAAAAGGATGGGAATGGGTGTCCAAAATGAAGCATGCATGCTCCAACTAAGGAGGGAGATGGGCTAGGTGCCCTAAGAGCGGCTCGCAAGCAAACCAAACAAAAAAGAGAAACGGGCACAAGCGTCCAATCAGAGCGCCACAGACTCAGAACAAACAAAACCATTGAGTATGTTAATACAAATATACCATTTAGTAGATGTACCAAGATGATAACTTAACTGATAGAAATAAAGATTTAAAATTTGAAACTTAACTTATAAAAAGAAATATTTTTTAAGTATTGACCTTGATTAAACAATCTGCATACATAATTAATACTTTTACAAAAATATTAGTGTAAAATAAAAAGCTATCGTACATAGATCCCAACTATATATAAATTGTAAAAAAAAAAAAAATGTTATGATCATTTGAATGTAATGTGCTGATATTAGCAAAATCCAAATATTAAGAAGTCTACGTAAAAAGAAAAAAAAATTAAAAGGTATACGTGTGCTACCTTATAGATTAACTTGGCTGAAATTGCAGCTGTTTTGACCTGCTTGATATTCTGAATCCCTACTCCGCCCATGCATAGATTCTTAGTGAAAAGACTCCGTCGCTTTTCAGAAATGTGAGAAAAGGAAAATAATGATCGCAAATAAGCAGAAAGAAGATGCCCTAGCTCCTGCTAGTAAAGCTTTTGATTGAGCTATTCGTGGAAAGTACAGAAAAATTCTGAGCATAATCCTATTTCCTTATAATTTATTGGAGCAAATAATTGACCATGCTTGCTTTACAGTTTAACTTTCCTGGAAAAAGCAGCAGCCCAAAAAGTCACGTCCTAAACCTATAAACAGACAACATTTGTAAAACAAAAGATAATAATGATATAAGATCGATTTCATTTGTTATATCTTTAGCTGTCACAAACAGTTAAACAAGCATACTTACAAAGTGATGAACATATTGATAGTCCATAGCAGAATCTTTGAAAAACGTTCTCGGAGTATGCATTTTTACGTGTTGCCATGTAAAATCTAGAAAACTTTTCATCAAAGGTGACAACATATAAAATATTATAGTGTGGACAGAGAAAAAATAGCTGTAAAATAGAGGTTGCTGGGGCCTGTAAGTGTGAATGAACGAATGAATGTACCAATGAGCTGGATTTGAGAGAGAACAAATTTTTCACTTGAATTCGGCTCTGAGTTTGGATCTGGATGTGTTAATAGCAAAACCAATTTGTGATAATCAATTAAACAATGATGATCTTCAACTGGTTGTGTCAAATAATTCCAAATCCAAACAATTGAGATGTTCCAAGATTATCAATACAGCAGTGTCGCTTGTTTATTGTGTTCGATTAGCATTCATACCTTTGGAGGCATTTAGTTGGGGTAACGTAAGATTACTGAAATTATGTCTCTTATATTACTGATTACCACGTTTGGTTGAAAATAATATAAGATTCTGATAATCTTAAAATACTATATAATAATGTTAATTATGTTGGAGATAAGTTTATTACCTTTATTTTTTTAGGTATTCTAAGATTATTCGGGTAATTTTTTTTTTTTGTTTTACAATTCTATCCCTTATTAATAAATTTAGGACAATAATGCCCTACTTTTAAATATTTACATGAAATAGACTTTTACAATTTCACCATATTAATTAACTTTTTGACAAAATTACCCTTGAATTCAAAAAAAAATTACAACCCACCCAAGCCATCTGAACCACTAGGCTTATGATAATCCACTTTGTGTACAAGATGGCCTTTAACACACACGCCACGGTGTAGACCATACTGACACATCTTCAGACACAGATAAATCTGAAACATTTCACGAGTAGAAATAAATAGCCTTATGATGTAACAAACATAATTTTATATAGAAAACTGTCAAAGAAGCAAATTGTCTATTCTTTTAGTAGTGGCTCATCACCAATGGAACTGCACTCTGCAACTTCCCCTGCAGGGAAAATACAAGAGAAAGGTAAGCTTTTATTACAGTAATTGAATATTCAGATGCTGAAGTCCACCATTTTCTAAATTCGAATGCCATTCACCAGTACTATTTAATTTAAACGACAGAATTTATTTTATCAGATTATTAGCGTTGATTATATATATTTGTCATTTTATGTGTTAGGGCCAAAAAAATCGTCCTTGGCCAAATAGGAACAGGACCACTAATGAAGAAAAGACCAGGCCCAGTCCTAAAGGGCTCAAGCCAGATTAGTCCTATTT